TATTAGAAAATGCTTAATATATGAATAAAATTAAATCCAAGAGAAAAATTTTTAAATGGAATAATAAAGATTTGATCATACTGTCCAAGTTCTAACTCAGTAAGAGTCTTATAATATCATTTGAATTTCTTTAGATTGTTTTTAAAAGCAAGACCTACATGTGACAAAACTGTTCATTTTACCACAAGGATTAGTTTCTTTAAACTGTTTTTAGAACTTATTTAGAAAGAGTGAATTAATGTGAAACTTCCCAAGGAGGCAACTTTGAAGGACTAAATTCACTTGGAAGCATAAATTATGGATATTTGTTACAAAGAGCAATTTTGATATAACTAAGCAAATTTTGCTTCAAAATCCTGTAGGGTGAACCTTTAAAAAGGTGTTTGGCTAATTGGGAAATAATTAAGACAGTCAGAAGATCTGTTCATTAACATTAGGTGAGGGAATACTTAAAATGGAATTTGTATTAGCCAGATGTTCCAGATGACATGCATCTTTATTGCGAGAAACAGAAGTAAACAGTACATTAATTAAACTTGCAAATACTACAAAATAAGGAGGCTTTGTAAATGCCAGTAAGGAAAGATAAATTTTAGATGAAAATATCAAGCAATTAAGAGTAAATATAATATGATTAGGTTTTGAAGTTTATTAATTTTACACATTCAGAAAGAATGTCACAATTTAAATACCTATGAATTTATCATTGACTTGCCTGGGTTTTTTTGGTAGTCGGTATCATATTCCACCAGCATGAGATGAGACTTTTTACATTGCTCCACTGTTACAATGTGCCCTAATTGTCTCAATGATGAAAACTCTGGCCTACCTAGGAGAAAATGTTTCAAATATAATTTATCTAAATGCATTAACGTGTAAATATTAAGCACAACTCACTCAATATTTCTAGAAATATTTTTAATATTTCTAAAGGGGCAACCTCTATCCTCAATATATATTTTTTGATAGCTTCGAAATATCCACTGCCTTCTGACGTAATCCACTTCTAATATATCTCCTATTCTCATAGCCTGTGTTCAACTACCAGGCATTTACTAAGCAACCCCATGAACTCTAAACCCTACAAATCCCTTCACGTTTCTGCTTCTAACCATTTCCTTCTGCTCATTTTCACCTTTATCCTATTTGCATCTAAATCTGGCCTTCAAAACACAACCAAAATGCCACTTCCCTTATGGAAAATGTCTCTTTCCCAAGCAGAAGTAATCATTTCTTGTTCCACGGTGTTGTGCCTCTTACAGTTTCTATCATAAATGACAGGTCTTTGAATGATCACTTTTTTCCTTCTACTAAACAGTTATTTTCTTAGGGTCTATACCTAACTTTGCTATTCTTTAGCATATTAGCTGCAATTAGCAGATTGTTAATATACATTTGACAATGAACAAATGACCTCTTTTAAAAATGAGATATGAGAAGGAAATCTGTTTAATCTTCCTTAAAGAAGTCAGCAAATGGAGATAAATGTAAATTCTTTCTTGTCACTGGTACCTGAACCAGATGACTGTTGAGTAAAATAAATATTTTCATTTTAGGGAAATATTATTTTTAACTAAACTTCAACTGAAAACAGTAACAGCTGCTTCCCATCTGAGGCTGACTGTTCCTGTTCTAATGTTATTGACTTATTACGCTTCCCCTTTAAGTGCACCGTACACTGATCAGTTAGAGAACACATCACGGCGTGCTCATGGATGCTGCCTGTTGTTTGGTGACACTATTTAATTTTCATGAGTCTCTGTTTCTTCATCTCGCAGATAAGGCAAAATCATCCGCTTCAACTATTTCACAGGGTTGTTGTGAGTTAGTACGATAAAGTAACTGATAGCAACCTTATAAATCATAAAGTTCTATATAAATATCAACATTTGTGAGGGAACTCTACATCAAGGGCATTAACAGGTATAAGAACATGAGAAGAGAAAGGGAGTGAGGAAATGACTGAAATCAGATTCTTTTAGGTCAAATTTATGTGAAATATAAAAGTCTTTAGTAAGCGAAGAGGGTGTGCATTAATTTTCTTTCACAAGTCACTGTTTAATTCCAGAGGGGCACATTTTGAGATTACTGGATTATTTCTCTATGGGTTCCATAAAATTTCAAATTTGAGAGGCCCTTATAGATGAGAGAGTTCCAGACATAAAATAATTTCCTATCTAATTAACCTACCACTTCCAATTAAGAGGAATGATTTTTTTTTCTTGTTCTGTTGGAATCAGCTTAATAGAAGCCCTAAAAATTTTCCATCACCACATCTCCTGAGGTCTTAATGCACTGTGGACAGGAAATGTAGAATGTGAAGCATAAATTTAACAAGGGTTTTCAGCATTTGTTTATTCCAGACCTGGAATCCTTCTATGGCACTTCTGCTATACCACCCCTAAATGGATCCAACTCAGGGAAAGAGATCGATTGCTTTATCCTTAAATCAATTTGACTTTCTTTGGAACTGAGCAGGAATATTGTCTTCTAACATTTGGGGCAAGTCCTGATTGAAAGCCTTGGTTTGCTCCATGTACTGATTCTTATAACGTGCACACCGACACACACCGCCATGCCATGATCCCGTTACTCTTTCCCTCTTGGTCATCCAGGCCAATCATGTTCATTCCCAAATTAGCTAGGGCAGTGGTCCACAGTATTTTCATTTCTTTTGTATGTTTGAAATGAACTTGTCAGTCATTGAAGACTTCAAGTCCACTTCTGTTTTACTTTTCCTTCTTTTCTAACCACTCAGACCAATATTTAGATTTAAAGGGTCAGGAATCTGGAGGCCTTTTTGTTTTTTTCATGAAGCAATTATTATTATTTCATGTTCAACCTTCCTTTTTTGTCATTCCCACGCCCTCCCACCCAGTCCATGGTCTCCTCACAGGCATTGGTCTTACCTATTGGTGGATTAACATTCTTCTTTGTATGTCCGTATAACAATGGTGAGACTAAATATTTACCTTTGTAAAACTTACTCAGGTTGCTAAGTAAAATGTTCTCTAGTTTTGTCCATATCTTGCAGTGTTTAAGGACATTGTTGGTTGCTTTTTACTGGGGCATCAAACCCCATAGCAGGAAGGTAGCAGAGCTTGTTTTCCATTCCTCGATAATTAGGGTTTTTGTTTGTTTCCGTGTTTTTGCTATTGTGGACATTGCTGCAATAAACATAGGTGTACATAGGTCTTTACGTGTTTTAGTCTTAATTTCATCTGGGTATCTTCCCAGTTATCGGGATTGTTGAATCAGACCGGAATTGGATTTGCATTTGTTTAAGCAAGTATTCATAGTGCTTGTACACTTCCACAGTCCCACCAGCAATGTGAACACATTCCTGTCTCTCCACATCCTCTCCAGCATTTATTTTGTTTTATTTAATTTTTGCCAAAAGTGTCAGTTCACACTGTCTTGTCCCTTGTCCCATTTTTTATTAGATTATTTGTATTTTTCTTGTTAAGTTGTTGTAGTTTTCTTTCTTTTTTTTATTTTAACATTTTATTAGGGGCTCATACAACTGTCATCCCAATCCATACACACATCAATTGTGTAAAGAGCATTTGTACATCGTTTCTCAAAACATTTTCTCTCCACTCAAACCCCCGACATTAGGTCCTCATTTTTCCCCTCCCTCCCCGCTCCCCCCTCCCTCATGAGCCCTTGATAGTTTATAAATGGGTATTTTGTCATATCTTGCCCTGTCCGACGTCTCCCTTCACCCACTTTTCGGTTGTCTGTCCCCCAGGGAGGAGGTCACACACAGTTCCATGTAATCGGTTCCCTCTTTCCTACCCATTCTCCCTTTACCCTCCCTGTTTCGCCACTCACACCACTGGTCCTATAGGGCTCATCCGCCCTGGATTCCCTGTATTTTCAGTTCCTATCTGTACCAGTGTACCTCATGTTGTTGTAGTTTTCTATAGATTTTGGTATATTATTACTGAATTTTTTTCTGATATATTATTACTGAATATTTTTTTCAAATCTGTGGGTGACTCATTTGATGAAGTCTTTTTGTTACCCATAAATGTCATATTTGCATTTACATTTATCTATCATTTTAAATTTCTGTCTCTAAACTTTTAAATGGGAATTAATCTGCGTATCTGTAGACATTATCTCAGAGTGTCAGCTCTGTTAGGATCAAATGTGTGATGAATTCTGCTGCTGCTGCGACTGAAGAAACTATACTTTTCCAAAGGTGCCACTGAGCAGAGCTTGTCCTGAATAGCAAGTAAACTCCAATGAGGGAGATTGTGGTAAAGTCACTTTGGCCCCTCTGATAGCCTATTTACAGGCCTGCAGGATTAAACACACTTAATAGCTACATGATCAAAATGCCTATGTTTGCAAATGGTTTTGTTAATCCATGCTGTGCTTATGGTTGATGTTATTATTTTAGAGATTCATTTAGACTGGCAGTTATGAATAAGCTAATGAATGGAATCTTTGCCTCTTATACTTTGGATAAATTGCTTTGACATTTGAAGAGCAGCAAAAGTTATAATTGTTCTTAGCTGAAATTACCCATGTTTGGATCTCCCCCTGTATCCCACACCCCAAAGTTGAACATTTTTAACTTGGTGTAAAATTTTAATTTTATATAGATGTCATAATTAAATACAAGTGATCAAATGAAACTAGCATTGCCTAATAGCTTCTTCCACGTTACCACCTGTCGGATGAGTGTTGACGAGTGACTGATTTTCTTATGTGCCGCCGCCTTCCCTGCAGCAGCATCTTCAGCTCGCGGACACCAGAAAGGGAGTCCACGGCTCCAAATGGCAGAACGAATTCAACATGATCTTTGGGGGGAATGAAATGGAAACAGATGTCTCTGGGTTCCAGTTAAATTAAGCTCTTGGAGCTAAAATTCTGTGCTACAGTGAAGGCTGTGTATACGAATCAGATTTCCCTTTTGAGCACCTTTACAGTTATTCTTCCATGTTGGTCTCATAGATGAGGCTTTAATCGTCTCTCTCTGTCTCTCCTAGAAGATAAGGGGAAGTTAAAAGGCAGTTGTGGCCAGCCAGAAGGTGGTCCGTTTCTCCTCAAATCTGGCACCACACCCCTGCCACCTGGAGCGGCCACTTCTCCCTCCAAGAGCACAAATGGTGCTCCTGGTTCTGTTCCTGAATCCGAAGAAGAAAAAGCCAAAAAATTACTCTATTGTTCACTCTGCAAAGTGGCCGTGAACTCTCTGTCACAGCTGGAGGCGCACAACACAGGTCAGCGGCTTCCTCTTGAATGTAAATGAGGCTTAGAGCAAACCTCATTTTTCTCATCAGAAATGCCGTATCTTCTGTGGTTCGAACATTAAGTCTGCTCGATGTCCTCTCCACTGGTGGTAGTTATTAAGAAAAGGATGATCATAATGACCTTGGAAATAGCAGCCAAAGCAGCGTGGAGGTGAACTTGTTCTGGTCCTCATTTCCTCATGAACATCTAATATGGTGCAAAACTCATTTTGATAAATATACAAGAATTTATGTACATTGTTCAATGCAGCACATTTCTAAGAGAAAAAGAAAAATGAGAAGAACCCTAAATGTCCATTAGTGGGGAAATGTTGAGGAAATTATAGCAGACTCAGTATAATAGAATATATTATTCAGCCATTAAAATGTAATGGTGAGAAAATACATACATGATTTCATATGTGAAATTTTAGGTTGATCATAATTTTGAGAATATAATTATATTTCTAATAGATAAACATAGAAAGCATGCAAAGAAATACACTAAAATGGTAACAGTGGTTATCTCTGACTGGTGGAAATATGGAAACCTTTATTTTCTCATGATTCTCCATATTTTCGATATTCATTTTACTATGTTTTCATGTTTCCCCATTATTATAACAAAAATGATTATATTTACAGACAGCATTAAAATGGTATTTTTCCAAAAGTGCTGAGAAATATCGCTTGCAGATAAACTTTTCCAGGATGACGGAGGGGGGGGGGTCAGAGATGGGCATTATTTACTTCTTAAATAGCTATTTACTATATGTATCTTTCTGTCTTAGGTTCTAAACACAAGACCATGGTTGAAGCTCGAAATGGGGCTGGCCCAATTAAGTCCTATCCTAGACCAGGATCAAGATTAAAGCTGCAGAATGGCAGTAAGGGGTCAGGACTACAGAACAAGACATTTCATTGCGAAATCTGTGATGTTCATGTTAATTCAGAAATTCAACTCAAACAGGTAATCTACCTTAAGTCAGTCTGCGCTGCTGCTTGAGGTTGCTGCTTGGTGATGCATGTCCTTTGAGGAGTCCCACGGCAGCTCCAAAAGTCAAGCAAACTCACGGCCCTGGAGTCTGTGCTGACTCATAGCAACCCTCCTGTGGGGTTCCGAGACTGTACCTGTTTATGGGACGAGAAAGCCCAGTCTTTCTCCCATGGAGCTACACATGGTTTCAAACTGCAGCCCATGCAGACTGCACGCAACACCAACTCAATGACAAACCAACAAGTTGGCAGTTTGAACCCACTCAGGTGCCTCAGCAAACAGGCCTGGTGTATGCTTCTGAAAGGTCACAACCTTAGTAACTCTATGCACAAGTTCTACTTACTCAGAGGGTCACCATGAGTCAGAATCCACGCAACACCAAGCGACAGCAACAATGTGGGATATGTGCAATCTACAACCAACAGAAGCTATGTGGAAGAAAAAAAAATTCACTGTTTAGATAGTTTAAGTTCAAATGTGTAAATAGTTTAAGTCGGAAATGTAAGTACATCCCAGCTCCCGGGCTAGATGTGAGAGTAGGATAACCCCCAAAGTCACCTCAAGTTCACGTCGCAAACAAGTAAGTTTTCCAAGGATGCATAATCTAGTTAGAGAGATTTACCCCCAGTATCTCACTGCCATCAAGGAAATTCCAAGTCCCAGGGGTCCTAGATAGGGGTATGCGATGGCTCAGCTGAGGAGCACAGCCAGCGCCCTTGTTCTCCTTGGAAGTGGCAGGTGTGTTTGAATGGTGACCTTGCAGTTCACAGCTGGAAGTCTAACCCACAGATCTCCAGGGTTCCTCCCTTTCTGAAGGGCAGGTCCTCATTCATGTTTCAAGGCATGGTGTTCATAAGGACTCTGCAAACTGGTAACGCTTTGGGGGAACAGTTTGGCAATCCCTCCCAAGTATCTAAAGATGCATATCCTTTGGAATAACTGTTCGGCATCTAGGAATTGATCTCACGGCAATCTCGTGGTGCTGTGGAGTCCATTCTGGCTCAAGTAGCACAGGCAAAAACCTTGAGGTGATACAAATAAACCCAGCCCACACGTCCTGCCATCAAGTCCGTTCTGACCCATAGCGACCCTACAGTGGGGTGCAAGACTATCACTCTTCTTCGGATTAGAAAATCTCATATCTCTCTCTCTCTCAGAGCAGGCTGATGGTTTCAAACTGCCAACAGACAAAAGGGCAAATGTCTTACAAGTTTTCATTTAGCGATTGTGGCTATTTATTCCAAACCATCTTGGAACCATAGAATCAGAGCCACCTCTATCTAAGAAATGTCTTTTTATTAAAAAAAATCATTTTATTAGGGGCCCGTACAACTCTTATCACAATCCATCCATCCATCCATCCATTGTGTCAAGCACTTTTGTACATTTGTTTCCCTCATCATTCTCTAAATATTTGCTTTCTACTTGAGACCTTGTTATCAGCTCCTCATTTTCCCCCTCCCTCCCCGCTCCCCCCTCCTCCATGAACCCTTGATAATTTCTAAATTATTATTATTTTGCCATATCTTACACCATCCAATGTCGCCCTTCACCTACTTCTCTGCTGTCCTTCCCCGAGGGAGGAGGTTATATGTAGATCCCTGTAATCGGTTCCCCCTTTCTCCCTCACCTTCCCTCCACCCTCCCCGTATCGCCACTCAGCACTGGTCCTGAGGGGTTCATCTGTCCTGGATTCCCTGTGTTTCCAGTTCCGAAGTGCCCGGCCATCTAAGACATTTATTTTATATGGAACAAAGCTCACATTTAGATTCAACTAAGGCATTGAACTTTTTCTTCAGCACATTTCTAGTCGGAGACATAAGGATCGAGTTGCAGGAAAACCATTGAAGCCAAAATACAGCCCTTACAACAAACTTCAACGGAGCCCCAGTATTTTAGCGGTAAGTTCACCTCCATTGTCCACCTGTTGGGTGAACCTCGCTGAGTGGCAGGGACTGTGGGCAAGAAGGACCGAGAGACCCACTGGTGACGAACAGCTTTCGATTGACTCGCTCTCACAGACCCCCAGAACTTGTCCAGCGCATTGCTTAATGGGGCTCTTAGCAGAAAGCCCCGTCATCTGAGGAAGTGACACACTTTAAGCCTTAGTACCTTGCTGTTTGGCAGAACTTTGGGGAAAGACCAACCTCTTAAACATGTACAGAAGAATAAAGGCTCAGAGACAAGAATAAGTGGTGCCTGAAGAATCCTCTAGGGTGCTGAGCCTTGCTGGCTCTTTCTTTTGTCTGGGAGAGTAGTGAGTGCTTGTATTTGCTCTTTCTGGGGCTAGAGGCAAGCTGGTAGTCAGCCTGTCTCACCTTCTCTCATACGCCCTGCTTTCCATTTCTTTGCAAAAATGCTTAGGATCTCCAGCGATAGGTGTCGTAAAAATATCTAGATGGAAGTCTTTCACCATCTCCCTGGGACTCAGCCCAGTGTGGCATTCAGGCCCAGGATGGAGCTGGGATTGGCCGATTGGAGCCAGTGCTGAGATTGCTCCACCAGATGCTGCCAGCAGGTGTTACCCGCATTAAGCAAATCCAGCTTGCCCAACTCCTCCTGATTGCAAAAGCAGAAATTAGGGATTGATTTTTTCCCCCCTTCATAAGAAGATTTCATACTAGGATTCCTTTAAATAAAGAACATCCAATTTACAATCCTCCCCAAAGGCAGAAATCTGATTTAGCCACAACTCTTCAAGAGCTTCTTGTGAAGTGATAAGAGAGATGCCATCTGACTCAGGCTTTTCTGATGGCTCCTTGGCTTCCAGCTGGTGTCCTAACCCCCAGTGGCCTAACCTCGGGGCAGCATCTCTAAGTGAAGTGAAGGGTCACACATACTTGCCCCAGGGACATGTTTGTCCCAAAGTGCTTTGTACTTTGAGAGAAGTCAGCATGTCGGTTGAGCTCCAGTTTACCCAGGAAACCTTCTGATATAAGGTATATTTGTTTGTTTGTTTTCATTACTGAGCAACAACAGAAAATAAACATTAGTACCTATTCAGAGAGGCCTCCCGATGCTCTAGTGCTCAGGGGCAACGACCACCAGGAAATAACTCACTAGAAACAACTCAAAGCAACATTGTGCCAGGAGCCATTGAGACCAGCTTTTTGAAAATCATCATCTCGTGATCTGAGTGCAAAGTTTTTTTTAAAATATGAGACTTCTTAATAGTTGTATTTTACTACTGACAATATCTCTGTGGTGGTGTTTGAAATAATATTCCCATCCCCTTTCTGGTTCTCTGCCTCCATTAGGCAAAACTTGCATTCCAGAAAGACATGATGAAGCCTTTGGCACCGGCTTTCCTGTCCTCGCCCCTGGCAGCAGCCGCAGCTGTGTCTTCAGCACTGACACTCCCCCCGCGGCCAGCTGCCTCGCTCTTCCAGGCTCCAGCCATACCTCCGGCTCTCCTGAGGCCCAGCCACGGACCCATCAGGGCCACTCCTGCCTCCATCCTCTTTGCCCCATACTAATATCTACAAGCCCCAAGATGGTGAAGGCCAGAAGGAAAGCTGAGAAGGAAAACCAAAATGATTCCATAATTTAAGCACTTTGTGTTACAGTGCCCCCATCCACCCCTAAAATGTAGCACCTCACCCGTAACCCCAGCTCCAAAGAAAAGCAGATCACTGGATTCAAGAGGGTTCGTTTTATAGACAGCTTCTGAAATTGAGGGATCGGAGCAGTACAGACAGTACAGACCCTCCCACCCCTGTCGGCCAGCCAACATGTGTCTGCCCCAATCCATTTGATGTCTGGGAAAGGTGGTGTCTTCAGATTCTCTGTACCAGAAAAGGGTGAAAAAAATAGATTTTTAAAAAGGCTCAGATGTTGTTCCCATGGATCTGATCTGGCTTAGAAATAACATGGAATATTTTGCTGACAGACTTGAAATTTAGGATCTGTAAATAACTCTGGAATCCAACGGGGCATATTTTAATGTGGGACAACAACAAAAGTAGATTAACACAGTGCTCACTTGTGGAATCCATCTCACCAGTGGATCACAACGTCTTCTCTCCGGTGTGCTCTTGTTGACAGGGACAGTGTACTGTTTTAGACCCACGTACTATTATGTCCTGTGTAGTACTAGATCTGTATCTCTTGTCTGAACTCAACAGTTTTCTGTTGCTGTGTAAATGTTAGGAAGCAAAATAGCTTTGAATTTTCTCTTCAAGAGAACAAAAGATAATGTATTTTCTTTATTTCATACTTTATTTAGAGATATTTAAAAGAAATAGAAAGCCATATAACATAGCTATAATTACTACCTGTTTGCTATTATTTGTTTAACTTATTTTATAGCTTCCTCACTGGTTTGAGTTGCTAAGCAAATGTATACAAACAGAAAAAGAGCTTCCTAAATGGCACATTTTAGCACCTCTAGTGCATTCTGCAAGAAGGCAATGAATCCATGTACCTCTACATAATTACCTTCTTCATTTTTGACTTGTTCTCATTTGTAATGATGCTACATAATTTTGTGGCTCCCTAATGCAATAATGTACAGAAGATTAAAAACATTATACTGGAACAACTTGTCTTTCTGTTCACGAAGTCTGTTGGCGGTCCTCTCCCCATGCCCCGTCTAAGCTGATATCAGCAAGGCTGGAATGTTGGTGAGATCAGGGGCAAGAGGTATCAAAACATCAGAAAATAGAGTGAACTCTTTTAGAGCATCTATATCTGCGATCTGTAAATGGTAAAATGTCTGTGTATTTTTTTAAATGTATCTTTTCAATAAAAGTACAAAATAGAAAAATCTGTTTGTATTTACAGTTATTTTTTCCTAAGACACTTCCAATTTGAAATCATCTGATGAAAGGTTTTCAGTAGGTGCAAAGATTGCTTCTTCCATATTAACATTTTCAGCTCTTGTTTGCAGCATGTTCATTTGTCATGTTTATTCATTACTGTTCATAACATCTGCATGAGGCAAAATTTGACGACTATTTTCCCTCTGAATCTTTAAGAAGATTGGGTTAAAGTTGTGAGTTGCACTCAAAATCAAAGCAGCAGTCTGCTAAAAGAAAATATGTGACTCAGACTTTCTTTTACTTGCTATAAGTCCCTAGCTCATAATTTTTTAAAAAATTAACAGTTTTATTGACATATAATTCACATATCATACAACTCAATAGTTTAAACATATTAAAGAGTTGTGCTCTGGTACTCGTTATTATTAACTCCCCATTTCCCCCAACCTCCCCTGCATTACCCTAAGAAAATATTAATCCAGTTACAGTCTCCATTGATTAACCTGTCCCAGATTTCATACAAAGAAAAACACACCCATACAAACCCCAACATCAATAATAAAGCAGAGATAAACCTCAACTGAGAAGAAAGCAGAAAATAACAAAAACAAGAAAAAACGTAAAGTGGGTCAAAAGAGAATGAATAAGGGGTTAAATTTTTACCTTAACTGCATTTGCATGAATCCCACTTTCCAATACACTCTGTTTCAATGGCCCCTAACCGCACCAGTGCTCTAGATCCCACGTCTTCCGTGATCTCTTGGAGAGTGCAAGTATCAATTAGGGCCATATCATAATGCTGATTGTTCTTAGATTAGGACTATCATGAAATATGAACTCAAAATCCATATAGCTATAGTTTGTCTATGTCCCTGGTCCATTTTGGAGACATTATTATCACTTTATTGGGGAACATTATAAGTCATCCCTATGGAACATATGGTAATTTTATTGATCATATTAATTTAGCCAATGGCGTAGAATTTTAAATACTGCTTAGTGGAGGAAGGTATACACATATAGGATGGTTGTATAGACTGAAATACACGGATTGTTGACTTGAGATTGAAAACGTCAGTGACTGGATGCATTTATGTAAACAGTGAAGGTTGGAGATAAGGCAGAACTTTCAGTAATGCTCATCCACAGAGCAGAACAATGCCTCCTGCACTAACTAAGCCTCCAGTCAAGATAAAAATCAGAGAAAATATAAAAGTAAATATGTGGCAATCTTGAGTTGCCCTTTATGGGACACCCTCAAAGCAAGAGATTTTAACAAAGTCCAATGACTTCCAAATCCATAAACTTGCCCTAGTTAGTAATTATCTGCCTCTTTTCCCACTTCAGCCTTACGTCCAAGGGAGTATTCCTTTCATCTGTGACAAGCATGTTTAAGGGTCACTTGGTGGGATTTTCAAAACTAATCCTTCTGGTGTGGTCTATGAAGAGTGTTGCACACCCCAAAAGGGCAGAGTGTCAAGTCCTGGTTGTCTATACTATTTGGCCTGGGTCACCAAGGGCTAGATAGAAACTAGGACAAAAGTACTCAGTTAGGAACATAAGATTGGGTATTTTCTCCCTGATATAAATAATGATGTTTTTCCCAGCGGCAGGTTGCCCCAACTAGTTGATGCACCAACCAAAGTAAAATCACCTTCTCCAAGAGAGACATGTCCCCTTCCCACAACACCCCTGGACTTGAATTTCTAGTAAGGTTCCCTGAGCACCCTTGTAGGAGTGTCTGTTGATTTGGACAATGTTATATGGCAGAACTGATCGATCTTCTCCCTCTCCCCCCACTGATCCCAGCTGAAGTGAGTCCTCTCTGTCAAAGTGGCTATTGGGATGTACTTAGATAAGGGAGAGCTATATGGATCATGAACATTAGGTAGGCACACCTTGTCATTGCTTGGGAGACCAGATTAGAATGTCACATGACCTAAGAACAGATTTAACCATATAATAGTGCTCTCAGATACTTTGTGTCTTTTTGTGATTGACAAACTTCACTTGGCATAATGGTTTCCAGGTCCGTCCATGCCATGAGGTGTTTTGTGATTCCGTCGCTGTTTTTTAGGGATGCATGTTATTCCGATGTGTGTCTATATCAAAGTTTCTTTATCCATTCTTCTACCAATGGGAATGTGAACTGTTTCCAGCATCTTACGTACTACTGTGAACTGCACTGTATGAACATGGGAGGTCATATATCTACTTGGGTTCTGACTCTTCTTTGGGGTATATACTAAGCAGAGATATTTCTGGGTTGTCTAGGATTTATCTTCTCAGTAGTTTTACCTACTGCCGTATCGCTTCCACCAGGCTTGTACATGTTTACAAGGCCATCAGCAGTATATAGGAGTCCAGTCTTTCCATATTCGCTCTAGAATTTGTTTGTTTTTTTTTACTTATTTATTCATTGTTTTGGTTTTGGTTTTTAAATCAAGCTATTGTAGGTGTGAGGTAATATGTCACCATTGTTTTGAATTGCTTCTCCCAGATGGCTATTGATGATGAACACTTTTTCATAAGTTAGTTAGCCATTTGAATCTCATTTTGGGGGGAATTTTCTGTTGATATTTTTTACCCACTTTTTAATTAGGTAATTCACTTATTTTACTTATTTGATTTTTTACTCATTTACTTATTTATTATTTAATTTATTTGTTTAATTAGGTAAATTACTTATTCTTATTGAGGTGTTGCAGAATTCTGTAGATTTTAGTAATTAGTCCCTTGATCACTGCTAACGACTTTTTCCCTCCCAATCCGTGGGCTTTTGTTTTACCCTTTTGATGTGTATAAGTGTTTTGTTTTCAGTAGGTCTCAGTCGTCTGCTTTGTCTTTCACTGTGTGTCCTTCCTTTATGATATTTGGTAGTATGTGTATGCCCTGTAGTCATGCACTTAAGGTTGTTCCAATGCTCTCAGTGATGCTCATTATAGCACCGGGGCTCACATTTAGGTCTCTAATCCATCTTGAATGTACTTTTGTGCTTGGGGCAATGTATTGGCCCTGTTTCATTCTTCTGCATATGGACATCCAATTTTTCCATCACCATTTGTTAAAGAGGCTCTCTTTCCTATTTAATGTTATTGTTTTTTTTATTGAAAATCAGTTGCCTATAGGTGGATTGATTTATTTTGGGGTTTTCTATTCTGTTCCATTGGTCTGTGTATCTATCATTGTACCAGAACCAGGCTTTGACCACCGAGGCTATGTAGAAGGTTTTGAGATCAGGTAGTGTCAGGCCTCCTACTTTGTTCTTTTTGAGGAGTTCTTTGCTTAAACCAGGTCTCTTCCCTTTCCATATGAAATACGTAATTAATTTTCCCAATTATTTAAAGAATAAATTTGGGTTTGGATCAGAATTGTGTTGTATTTATAGATTGTGATGATATTGATATTTTCACAATGTTAAATCTTCCTATCTGTGAACACAGGATAGTCTTTCATTTATGTAAGTCTCTTTTGGTTTCTTATGGAAATGTTCTGTAGTTTTTTGGTGCAGGTCTTTTGTTTCTTTGGTTAGATTTATTCCTATATATTTAATCTTTTGTGTGGCTGGTGGAAATTGTATTATTTTCTTGATGTCTTTTTAATGGTACACAAGAAGCCAATTGATTTTGGTTTGTTAATCTTGATTCCTGCTACTTTTTCAGATCTTTCCATTGGTTATAACAATATTTTGGGGGGGTTTTCTACATGTTAAAATGTATCAAATAGTGAGTTCCAGCCCTGAGAGGCTTACACTACCACTGGATCCACAAGACTTCCCATCCACTGGCTTGTGATCTTTCTGCATTCAGCAACAAGGCTTGTGGTTCATGAGTCTGAAGAGGACTTTATAGATTGGTATCAGACATATGGGTTAATATTGGACTTATGGACTTCATTTGAACTGGGCTGCTGTTTTCTCAATATTCAATTGCTCCTGTATATAAAGCTCTTTTTATACCCATGTGAGTGTCTATGAATTTGTTTCTCTAGTCTACCCCAAACTAATACAGCGAGTTTCACATTATTTTTGCTCAGTTGTAGTCCTTTGATTTCTTGGTGTTGTCTAATGATTCTGCCTAAGACTTCCAGCATGATGTTGAATAAGAATGGTGATGGGGGTATCCTCACTGATTCCCTTTCTTAGGGGAAATATTTTCCATTTTCCCAATTGAGTATTATGTTGGCTATTGATTTTTCTTATGTAGTCTTTCTTATATTGAGGAATTTCTCTTCTATTCCTATTTTGTTGAGTACTTTTCATCAGAAATGGATGTTGAGTATTGTCAAATGCCTTTCCTGCGTCTATTGATATGATCATGGCGTTCTTATTCTTTGTCTTATTTTTGTGGTTGATCACATTGATTGTTTTCTTTTTTTTATGTTGAACCCCCTAGCTTATCTTTACTTTTTCCTCTACCTCCCCCACACTCCCACCCTCGTGAACCCTTGATAATTTATAAATTATTTTTATTTTCATATTTTACACCATCCATTGTCTCCCTTCACCCATGTGTCTGTGGCTGGTCACCCCCGGGGCAGGGCAGGGGTTGTACATTGATCATTGCTATCAGTTACTCCTTTCTCCCCCTTCTCCCCCACCTTCCCCCTACCCTCATGGTATCACTACTCTCATTATTGGTCCTGAGGGATGTATCTGTCCTGGATTCTGTGTGCCGAGAGCTCTTATCTGTACCAGTTTACTTGCTGTGGTCTAGACAGATTTGTAAGATAGAACTGGGGTCATGATAGTGGGGGATGGGGAGAGCATTAAAGAACTAGAAGAATGGTGTGTGTTTCTTCAGTGCTATACTGCACCCTGACTGCCTAGCTCAATTTTAAATGGTGTCCATGGCTTATCCTTGTGTTCTGAAAAAGTTGTGTTTCAGTTTAACACTTTGGAGATGTTTTTATTTTTATGAACTTAAATGGTAATTGTTTTTTTTTACCTTGCATTATCCTAACCTCATTAAAACTTGGTATCGTCCACAGAAAACTTTAA